GTGCTCCCCCCAACAGCTGATCATTCGGCTTGTGCCCCTGCGGCCGCGGCTGTACATTTTGCAAGGAAGAAAAAGCAAGTGGGGGAGGTCCCTGACTTTGCCCTGGCTCCTCGCTGCTTCCCCACAGTGTTTTATTGAGCGTGCAATTTGCTTTACTCTCTCCAGCGCCCAAGCCCTGCCCAGACCCGCTCGCCTCCCCCTCCCGCTTTGCTCCTTGCCTGCCTGCTAATCAGGCAGTTCGCGTCATGAAGGGCCATTTTGCAAGGAAGAAAAAGCAAGTGGGGGAGGTCCCTGACTTTGCCCTGGCTCCTCGCTGCTTCCCCACAGTGTTTTATTGAGCGTGCAATTTGCTTTACTCTCTCCAGCGCCCAAGCCCTGCCCAGACCCGCTCGCCTCCCCCTCCCGCTTTGCTCCTTGCCTGCCTGCTAATCAGGCAGTTCGCGTCATGAAGGGCGGGAGAGCATGCGCACTCCGCCTCCCAGCCCCCTCCCCCAAAATAAGCCACCCTTTTCACCCACGCAGCGCGCTGAACTCCGCCCCTTGGAGTCCTTTGCCCGATACAGCGAGCAAAACTGCAAGGGGACACGCTCCCGAGCTAGGTTTGTAGGAGCTAGGAGGCTTGGGACGGGAGCGGTTTGAGCCTGCTGCCTTTCCTTTCCTCCCCTCCTCCCGGAGTCTCAACGCAAGGGGAAAACTCCCCACGTTTCAGCTGATGTTTCAACCCTCTTCTCAGTCTCTTCTGCTATAGGTTCAAGGAGCCGCCTCCTGCAAACTGCCCGTCTCTGGAAGCCAGAAGGGTGGGTGTGTGCAGAGACGGTAGGATGTAGCCGTGGAGGGGTGACTTATATTTCGAGGTAACAATACACAGGTACATCCGCTTTACAAGCCTTCCCAGATTTTGCCCTGGCTCCCAGTGGGTTGTGAGTGACAATCTCAGGAAGTGCGACTGACCAACATCTGTTCGCAGGAGCCTGCAACAGAAAATCCGAAAAGCATCGGGAGCTTCCCGCCAGCGGAAAGAGCTAATCACAAGAGGAGCAACGAGAAGGGTGCGAGGTGGTCCTTTTTTTCCATCACTTACTCCAGAGCCCTAGCCCCAGCTACCGAGATAGCCTAGTAGGCAGTGGTGGGAGTGACAGTAGCTGTCGCTCTCCCCCGAGGGGGGCGAACTCGGCGCAGCATTGGGACAGCCCTAGAATGCTCTCGCAGGTCCGAGTTGCAGGGGTTCTAGAGGCCAGAGCACTTGCTGCTCTTGGGAGAAACTAGTGATGAGCTCTTCTGCTGTTTTCTTTGCTGTTGAGGGTGGGAAATCCGAAAAAAAGGGATTTTAGATGGAGCAGCTGTTCATTTATTCTCTGTTCAGGATTTCATTTGTAAAATTCCTAGGGGATGAAATCACACACAAATCCCCAACAGTTGCAGATCCAGGTAAACAACATGTTACACACACAATGCTATAAACATGGAATAATATGGATAGGCAACATATTATTTCTTAAATGCTCCTTATTGATAATAGCTTTGGGGCTGGGCAAAAGCCTTCAAATGCTTATACATGGAGTAAATATTAATATGAGTAGTTCCCATGAGTTATATGGATCTCATTATGATTTTCTTAACTTAGAAATTCTAGAAAAATTAGTTCTGGTTTCCAGTCCTGATTCCCCTCAGTTTACTAAAGGACTTGTTGAGTCTCAGAAAATTGTTCTTTGATAGTTTTTACAACTTTATCGAAGGAGTAAGGCTGTGGAGATTTTACTTTAAACAAAAACTTCCCTTCTCCAAAAATCAACTAAGTATTTGTTTTTAAAAACACCTATTTAAAACAAAATATTTTTATACATTCCAATTAAAAATCTCTTCCTGTCTAGAGCCCTGATGATACAACCTGCTTTGCATGACCTAGATCATGGCCTACATTAGTCAACTTTCCCTCTCTTGATTCCTCTGTTGTCAAAATTCACTCATTCTCCAACCGTCGTAAAATCTCACAGGCCAGACAATACTAGAAACTTCTCATGTGTGTGTGTGTGGGGGGGGGGGGGGGGGAGGAAGCAGTATATTTTTATCATGTGTATTGAGTTATTCTTTATGCATCTTGAACAACAAAAAGTCACAGGCTCATATTTTCCCCTCTGTGCAGGTCACCTTTAATTTAGCCACATAGTATACAGTCAGCGTTGTTTGTTACTCCTTACACCCACAAAATGTGCAATTTAATACATGCTATGTGCAATGTGGTCAAGCTAATGGTGCTATTCAGACATTAAGGGACATCAAATTTAAAAATAGGATTTATGTACCTTTGTTAGTAATTTATATTAACTTTGTCATACTCAAATTAAAGCCTAATTTCTCTGAGACCGAGAGGTGAAAACTTCACACACAAAGGAAAGAACAGTGTAATGGGTTTTACACTACACCGTACTATAAAGAAGAAAATAGCTGGTGGCCATACTATAGATTTGTTCAGTTGCATGGTGTCATGGATAATTAAAACGTAGTGGGTATTCCTAGCATTTACTGTGCTTTACTAAACATGTTTTAGATGTCTTAGTGCCTAATAAAATGTCTTTATGATTTTTCAAGAACAAAACGTTAGTGAGAAGGTGTTGGATATATTTCTGATTTTTTTGACATATTTCTTCCTCATCTTCTGACAGTGATACCTTAGCTTCCTATTTATATGCTAGCTTCAGTAGCAGTGAGCATGATAAAACCAATTCAGTTATATTAAGAAGTGAAACTAAAGAAGAGAACTAAAACCCAGGTTATCAGGATGGTTAATTACTCTTTCACCAGCAGCCACAGGAGAACTGCAATCTATTCATTGTGCTATAAATGCTGGTGATAAGGGGTAAGGCTAATCAGCACATGTAGTACCACCCACAGGATACTCATTTTACAGCACCCCCTAGGAGTTCCACGAAGATGTATGAGCACCTTGGCCTTATGTAGCTGTTACGGCTGTCTCTGTCTTTGGCTTCTGGCTCTGTGGTTGGTCTCTGACCCTTAGCTTGAGCACTGATTCCTTTTCTGGCTCTCACCACTAGGCATGACTCCTGGGCTTACCTTCTGCACCAGACTATCTACACCCTGGTTGTGCTATAACCTTCAAGATGTCCTGTATTTCCTAATTTTAATAACAATTCTCTATCAGAACAGATTGATGCTTCATTTAAAGAATGTTTGCAAACAAACAACAGGATTCTAAAAGTAGCAGAGGTAGTCATATGAGCTAATTGTAAATAATATAATTGTTGTACATAGTTGATTTTTCTACCATAACAATTGTGATTTGTACTGTCCCATTACCATGCTATTTAATTACATTTGTCTCTATTATTTGTATCAAATAGTTCCTCAGCAAAGTATACAGTACATGGCAACCTCAAAGCAGCCTTTGCTGCATGGAGATCAATGCATTCTGGAAAGTCTCTATAGAAGGACCTGGCTTGCCTACACAGCAAACTGCAATGTATTAAATTAGAAGAGCTCTGTAAGTTTGAAAGCTTGCTTCCCTCACTCACAGAAGTTGGTCCAATAAAAGATATTACTCCACCCACCTTGTGTCTCTATTTAAGAAGACAGACAACTTTCTCCCAGAGTCAGGTTTTGGTGGGGCAAAATGTGAAATCCTGTTAGCTGCTATGGTTACAAACATATGACTTCTTTCCTTTTCATACTGTTCACACACCTGTCTTCCCTTTTCATACCTCTTACACAAGTGTATGAACACGTGTTTCTTGCTGGATTAGTAATGGAAGCCACCCTGTAACCAGTATAAAGGGACATATAAACAAGCAGGGAATTAGTAACTGCTGGAATTTACAACTAAAGTGAGTATTTCTTCTCTGTATGGTATGTTTAGGGTGACTAGATGTCCTGTGTTTAAAGAAACAGTCTCCTATTTAAGCCCTCTTGTAGGTGTTCCTACTTAGGGTATGTCTACACTACCCCGCTAGTTCGAACTAGCGGGGTAATGTATGCATACCGAACTTGCTAATGAAGCCCGGGAAATTCAAATCCCGGGCTTCATTAGCAAGTTCGGTATGCATACATTACCCCGCTAGTTCGAACTAGCGGGGTAATGTATGCATACCGAACTTGCTAATGAAGCCCGGGAAATTCAAATCCCGGGCTTCATTAGCAAGTTCGGTATGCATACATTACCCCGCTAGTTCGAACTAGCGGGGTAATGTATGCATACCGAACTTGCTAATGAAGCCCGGGAAATTCAAATCCCGGGCTTCATTAGCAAGTTCGGTATGCATACATTACCCCGCTAGTTCGAACTAGCGGGGTAATGTATGCATACCGAACTTGCTAATGAAGCCCGGGAAATTCAAATCCCGGGCTTCATTAGCAAGTTCGGTATGCATACATTACCCCGCTAGTTCGAACTAGCGGGGTAGTGTAGACATACCCTTATTTTTATAAATGGAGAAAATTGGTGCCTATTTTCTGTCTCTCCCCTCCCATCAATATTGGTGGATCCTCCTGCTGTCTGGATTCTTGACTGAAAGCCAGCCAGTCACCCATCCATCAGTGGTGAGACAGTGTGGGGTGGGAGAGAGCACACAGTGGACTGACAATAAGTCCTGTCTCCCGGGTGTGCAAGGTTTCTCAGTTGCCTAGGAACCTTCTCCTGCTGAGACTCTTTGTCGGGGTTCACTGAAACCCCTGCAGTCTGGTTTCTCGGATCCTACAACTACCAGAGCTATCCTTAGTGGGGTGCAGGTCCTGGGACAATTCCTACCCAGGCCCCAGGTGTGGAGTTCAGGGCAATCCTCCTGCCACAGGCCTTGCCCTGCCTCTGCTTCACCCCCACCCTGCCTCCACTGCACCCCTTCTCCTAACTTCTATCCCTCTCCTGCCCCTGCTCTGCCCCCTTTTTGTGAGCAATGCAAACCAGGAGCTGGGGGTTGCCACTTCCCCCGCACTCAATGTGGTGATGGGAGTTGGAGCCACCAGGCAGCCTGCTCTGGTCTATCCTATGGACAGAGCCTAGGACAGCTCAGAGGTTTACTGAGGAGTCTGACTCAGGATGGCAGCAGGGGTTGCCTTTCCTCACTCACTACAGCGATGAGAGCTGGAGTGACCAAACAGCCTCTTCTGCTCCTCCCCGCCCTGCTGCCCTCTCCCAGCCCACTATGCATGGCTGGCTTGTCCACAGTAGTGGTTCCTGCTGCCACAGTGAAGCAGACCATAGTGGGATGGGACAGGGCAGCAGGGCGGGGAGGAGCAGAAGAGGCTGTTTGGTCACTCCAGCTCTCATCGCTGTAGTGAGTGAGGAAAGGCAACCCCTGCTGCCATCCTGAGTCAGACTCCTCAGTAAACCTCTGAGCTGTCCTAGGCTCTGTCCATAGAACAGCTGAGGAGGCTGAAACAGGCCAGAGCATGGGGCCTGTAGCAGCCACTCCAAACCATCCTATGGACGGTTTGGCTCTAATCCCCACCCCCTTTTGGCCAGAAGCAGCTCCCATCCCTTCCCTCCCGCAGTGTGCCAAAAGGGTAGGAACCCTGACAGAAATCTGGGGAGGGCCATGTGATCCTGCATGGTGCTTTGAGAATACACAGAACCAAAAGAGGCAGCTCCATCCTGGGACCCAGGTAGGCAGGCATGGAGAATGAAGATCACTAGGAAGGAAGGGCTCGGTCAGATCTTCCAGTCACTCCTATCCCCATGGAGAGAGGTGTATGGAAATATGTGTTTCACCTCTCCCTGTGCAAACCTTACAGATAAGAAAGTAAATAGACTTCAGCTATGCAATATTTCTTTTTAACAGTCAACGTGATATTAATTTGAACATTTGTAGTGCATAGTTCTGATTGATTGCCACTGAACTCATTTGAATATGAGTAATTTTACCAGGTGTCATACATTCAGAATAGGGAAATATAGTCACCCTCACTACATTGAATTGGTCTTTGCATTCTTGTATTCACTTAGGAGTTGCATTAAGGTTAGCATTTTTTTAAGTCTCCACTTTAGGATCTAGTATGTTGGTCTTGCACTGAGTTTCTTGCTGTTGGATTACAGGCAGTCCCCGACTTACGCGGATCCGACTTATGTCGGATCCGCACTTACGAACGGGGCTTTTCTCGCCCTGGAGCTCACGGGCAGCGGGTCGCCACCCGTGTCCTCCGGGGCGAGAAAAGCTTCTCATGGTCTCCCTGGTCTGCTGGGGGGGGGTCCAGCAAAGCCGCTGGACCCCCCCAGCAGACCAGGGGGACAGGAGCAAAGCCGCCCAGGTGGCAGGAGTCCCGCTGCCTGGGCGGCTTTGCTCCCGGGCAAATGAGCAAAGCCGCCCAGGCGGCGGCTTTGCTCGGGTGTCCCTGGTTTGCTGAGGGGGTCCAGCGGCCTTGCTGGACCCCCCCAGCCAACCAG